GTATTTCTAGGGATTTGAGTTAGTGTAGTGCCAAATCTGAGTTCATTTGGATGAGCAGTTCTCATCTTCAGGTTCAGAGTTCTTTTAAAAGTATTTTGCCCACACTCAGTGATGCTTTGCCAGCAACAGTAGGAGGGAGGTTTCTGCTTTTTTAGTTTAAACTAGAGATGGACTGATCTAATATTACGTATCGGTATCAGTCTGATACTGACCTAAATTACTGGATCGGATATCGGAGAGAAATAAAAACTGTAATCTGATCCATTAATTATCACAAAAGCACTTCACAAAACTTGCGACATGGCGTAACTCAGCTCATAACTTTAGCACGTTGGAGCAGTATGCGTTACGTGATAGAGCGGCTGTGGCATGTGAGACCTGTCGGTGGTCTGGTTGAGCATTTGGAGCCTCGCTACCAAATCAGCATTTTATCTCAGAGAAAGTTGTCCCAGAGGAGTAAAGCAAGTGTGTAAGTTCATCTCTGAATGTTTGTAAAGCATTCCCACGTTAAGCTTAACAACCGATATATGGAGCGACTGCCTCTTCTTGCTGCTACTTCAATCATGAAACTGATCAGTGATCAGCTGATCGGTTTTTCTGTCGCAAGTCCCGTTTCTCCAGTTTGTTTGTTCGCCCACTTTGCACCAGAAAGAGGAAACCAGTGGATAAACAACAGCAGCACGTTTAAGCTTGATAAGCTGTTGTTAGAATTTACTTTCTACACCAGGATCCTTTTTTACGTAGCTGACAGCTGGTAACTGTGCAGGGGCGGGTCTAGCAAAGTTTTGCCAAGTAGGGCATTAACAGGTAAATGGGGGGCGCAAAGAAATACTTTTCTTTCTTATTCTCATGTCTAGCTTTTAATAAATAATTATCTGAATCTTACAATTAAAGTTTTAATCTGACGTAAAATGTATAGAAATCCACTATTGTATATAGTAACTATTAACTCTAATTTACCCCTGGTAAGCTATAGTACCTTTTCCTTTGGGAAGATGCCATCTGTGCAGTCTGCACATCTTTCTGTTGAAGAAAGATGTTGAAACTACTTAAATATTGTAGAAAAATAATTTATTTCTATGCATTTGTTTTACACGTGCATTAAATTAAAGTACATTACGTTGATTAAGCATCATTAGGCAGAGGGTGGGGGGGTGGTTTCCTATTATTTTTGCTGGGAGTTTGGAACCCTATTAGTTAGGTTGTTTAATATTTCTGCTAAGTACTGTTTAGAATACGAGAATAGGGAGGATGGTGTAGGTTTAAGTAAAATAGATTGATCAGTATTGCTGAACTATGAAATATTTTGGCTGTAGTGCATATAACAGAATAGCTTTAGTGTTTTGTTTTTTAAAACAAATGCAGCAGGATATTAAAAAAATGTTTTGTTGATTGTTGTTTTTGTTGATAAAATGAACTATATCGGATTCATATCGTCAGATAAGAAACACATGGACCAGTTGTTGGATAGAAAATGTACCAAAAATAGTTTTAAATTTCTTTTACTATACTACATATTTTTAGATTAACTTAAGTGTAATAAAGATTATGTTATATAATATAAACATGCTAATTGAAAAATAGGATAATAAAAAAATCTGCCTTAAATTCATTTTCACTGGCAACCCATTTTTATTTATAAATGTAACATCTTTTTAGGATATTCTTTTATTTAACTTCTACATTTAAACCAACAGTCAGACTGTAAACTCAGCAATTTTTTTTCATAGAGTATAGAGTTAGACTTCTTGCAGGAGTTTCCCCCTGCTGGTCATTACAAACAATGCAGGTTAAAAGCACCTCTCCAATGACTTCTTACCTGTGTTGGAGAGGGTGAGGATACTGGATGGGTGACGCTCAGGAGGTGAGTTGAAGCCTGATATCCAGCCACCGAAGTCCCTCCTGATGTCGTTGATGTCATAGTACCAGTGGACCGGCATAGACATGGAGTCTGCTGCACACATCGCCCAGAATGCTTCGCTCACTGACCGCCGCATCGCAGACATCTTGGCTGAGGGGAGATGACCTGTGACCTTAATGTGAGGAGAGTTTACAGTCAGTGTACAGATATCTTATGGACACAAAGCAGGAATATGTTGTTTTTCTGTAACACAGCTGTAACAACAATCAGCTACATGTGTTGTTTTCATTGTTCTTCAAGCAAAAATGAGTAAATATGACTGAAATGAGTGTTGTTGATGTTTGAAAACTTTTGGTGCTGATCTCATCATTATTCCAATTCAAAATGTGCAAAACAGAGCCAAAGGAATAGTTTATAATGATTAAGTGTATGTGTTCACTGTCCTGCGCTTTGATTCCTGAGCAGAAATTGTGCCATCTCCTCGTGTCTTTAATCCTCTACACCTTATTCAAGTTTGAAGATTTCAGTGGTGTTATGTTCCCACTGTGGTGTCAGTACACTAACAGGTCTTATATACGGAGTCAGACTGATACGCACGGTAGCTTGTTTACATGTTGACGTCTTCTTTATTGAGATAACACGGAAGTTACACACACACATAACTGGTGCCCCCTACTGGCGATGACTTGCATAGCACACCATAACTCTTGGTTCATACATAACAAGTGGAGCTGATTCTGAACCAGCTCTGTCTCGGTGCCTCACGAAAACCAGTCCAGATTTAGAGCATACTTTGAAGAAATACTAGCAGAAGTATTTCAAATTCGCATTTCAATATGTGCACAATTTGTGGTGAATTTCTTAAGAGAGTCACTCCAGTCGTTCCTAAACCTGCCCACCTGCCTGTATAACACAGGCCTCCTGAGTCACACCGGTGGATCCCCCCAAGAGAAAACAACAGTAAACAAAACAACATGAACTCAACATGCACAACAAAAAGAAGCCAAAAGAAATTCAGTAATACTAATAATAACAAGCCAAACAACAAACCAAATGTTAAACAAAATCTAATAATTAAACAGTAAACTAATAAATAGATTATTTACTTCTGTTTAAAAAAACAGCTGCTGTGGTTAGTGGATCAATCCTTCATTCAAATTTACATTTAAAGATTTCTTAAATAAACGATTAATAAATAATTTTCTGAATATTTACAAAGACTCGAACATTTCAGGATAAAAACTGTTTAAAAAAAATGTTTTCTTTCCCATTAATCTCCCTCCAGTGATTGCTCAGTGTGAGCTGACATCAATGCGTTACACTCAGCTTCCAGATGAAGCTTTATACACCTGTCCTTACCTGTCGAGTCATCACCCTCAGACAC